TAGCGGGAAGTTCATTTTCGTTTTGCACATTTCGAGAGTGGTTTGGCGATGGCCAGAGAGAGAGAGAGAGAGAGAGGGGGCATGAAGGAGTGGAGGAGAAAACAGGAATATAACAGTATACCCGAAAACAATAAAATAAAAAAATAAAATAAAAACCGATATCAAAAAAACATTAGTCGAGAGAATGAAAAAAAAAAAAAAAAAAAAAAAGTCGAGAGAATGAAGTAGACCTAGATGGACGGATCAGCGAAGAAAGCCAACGAGGGATCAAGCCCCACTTACGATGCTCCTATCGGCGCGCTCTTCTCATCCGCACTGCCACTGCATTCGTCGGCACCCTTCCTCCGCTCGCAGCATCTACAGCCCTTGGTATTGTCGGTCGGGCACACAGACTGCGTGGGTTGAATGATGGTAGGTAGGGTAGTAGGGTAGTAGTAGGAGTTGGGGGAGTAGGGGGAGTAGTAGGAGTTGGGGGAGTAGGGTTAGTAGGGTAGTAGGGCAGGGTTCTGTGCGAGTGCTGTCGGAGAGGGGAGCAGGCAGCTCCTGCCGTCGTCGTCTTGTCGACACACTGACTGAGGGCAGCGCGGGGTGGGGCGGGGTGGGGACTTTCCCCGCACGTAATGCAGCCTGACGATGAATGTATAGAAGGCATATTTCCGGTCAAGTACAGCCGAGATGAGGGTGCGTTATGTTGGGGGAATGGGGTAGGCAAGGCCTGCCATGGGGTAGGCCAGGCCTGCCAGCCCCAGCTCAGGCCCGTCGAGAAGACCCCCTCCAATCTTCTTGGACGGGGGGCAGGCGGCGCCTCCACTTCTAGACCAGGCCTACCTCAGCCGCGGCAGAAAGGGGCTCGCCACACAGCCTCTTTTTTTTTTTCTTTTTTTTCTTTCGGGAAAACGGGTCCGGCGTCCCTTACATATTTGCCACGGTGACGTGGAGCTGGGCGAGGCACTCCCGGCCGGGCCCATCTCCAACCGCAGCCTATGAAGCACGTAAGCAAGAAAGGTCTAACAAATATAGAAAAGAATGATTCAAAACCTGGTACTACTGCCATTAACTCTAGCAATCCTACAAACAAGGTCTATAGCTGAAATCCCAACTATGCCTATCCTATTGTATCGTACAATTAGGCAAATTAAGTCAAAAACACAACTCGAAACTTCACAAAAAGAAGACAGAAAAAAGCAACCTTGGAAATTGTCCTGCAGGCGAATCCAATATAAAAAGATCCGGAAAAGCTCCCCATCTGCAACCAAACCATTTCAAGGCTTTGGCTGTGCAACCTTTCTTTTGTACTCGGTACTCCCAGTCTGCCAAGACAGCTTGCTTTATAGCCTACTTTATTTATGCTCTCACCATTGGGGGTGTAAGATGTTCTCCCCTTCTCACAGCAGCTTTCCGAAGATTCCATATTGTCCATACAATTGCAACTCGAATAGTTTCTTCTGCATGGGCCAAATGATCAGGGGACGGTCGTCTTCTTGAAGTCACCCCCATCAGCACAAACTGATCATCCCACCGAGTAGCTGCCACAGGGACAGGGACATTGGACCGTCTCCACCGCTCCCAAAATGGTCTAGATATTTCACAAAGTAATAGAAGGTGATGGATGTCCTCCATTCGTGTTCCCCGGCAAAGTCTGCATTCCGGAGTAGCCTTCACCGTTCTTCGTGCACACCAAGAAGCAACAGGCAGTGCTTGATGCATTATCAACCAGAGTAAACTTGCATGTTTGCTTACTATCAGGTCCAACAACTGTTTCCAGAAACCAGGTAATGCTCGAACCAGTCTTGTCAGTGAGTATATTATCCATCCCATTGCCATCCATCTTCTTCCCACTACCCAGTTTACATCCACTTCCGGTGTTGAAATCAAATAACCCAGCTTAGTTCTATAACCATCGGCCGAGATCAGCAAGTTGTCATTCTTCGGGTGTGTCCAGACCCAGTCTCTCGGGTCGACCGGTAACTCGTAGGCTGCTCTTCGTAAGTAATAAGGTCGATAACCGTCTCTTTGTTCCAACACACAAACCGGCAGTAACTGGCCCGGCGGAGGTAGAGGAGTTTGCTCTTGGGCGAGTCGCAACGACTCTCCCAGGGAATGTATCCCACCCTGCACTTCCCAACAAGTGAATGGTATATCAACTGCTGCTCCATAGTTCTCGACTTTCCAAATCAACTCTGGTTCTGCTTGTACCACATGCCCATTACAGGCACCACCCCCTGACTCATTGTTTGAATCCAGTCCTGTGGTATAGCCTGTTGCAATTGGTGCAGATGTTGACTTTGATGCCACAGTCCAGTCAGTCTCGGGCTGAGGGTGTGAATAGGTCTCCAATCCGCCGTTGTCACATCCCATATGTCAGCCAGTGTACCAATCCGTCGACTCATCCATGCATTCCCAAACTCCCCAGAGCCAAAATATCCAAATGAATTTCCCTCCGGAGTCAAAATCCGAGGGTTGTTGAACAGACGTTGAGTAAGTATTCGTTTAGTAATCATTGGTGGGGGTTGCAGTTGGGGACACTTGTTTGTCCATGCCTTCAGTATGCCTGCCCAGATCTCGGCGACAACCGTTTCCTAAGGTAGTCCTGACTCAAAGTAGCTAGCCACACACAACGATAATCTTCCCATTCTCATTCAGGGAGTGGGACAGTTTCAGCCAGTTGACGCCATGGAGTGAATAGGGATTCCAAGATCGCCCATGGGATCCACCTAGAAAGCAAGGCAGCTATCTGTCGCTCAGGGTCTAGGATTGCTAGCCCCCCATTTCTCTTGGGCTGTGTAATAATCTGCCAGGTCACTTTCGGTAGTAAGTTTTCATCACTCATTTCTTCTTTCCAAAGATAATGTATGATTAGTTGGTGGATCATTCGTATCGAGGAAGGGTCCAACTGGAGAACAGCTCTCCTATACCAAAGAGTTGACAAAACAGCGTTATTGATAACAACGACTCGACCGAAAAGACTGACACCCTTGAACTGAGTCCATGGTCGCAATGCAGTGCGCAAACCTGTTAGCGATGGTGAAGAATCGTTTGTCAGTTGGGAATCAAAGGAAGGTCTGTGTCCCAACAATCTCTCGTGCTGAGAAGGGGCCACTACCCGCAAGCCCCAATGGTTTGGTGGTGGAACCCCCTGCGGGATTAACACAGAGGATTTGGACCAATTGACAGCCGCTTGTGAGAATTGATAAAACTGCTCAATTGTTTCTCTCAGGGCAAAGAAAGCATGATCGGTTAGAGGAGTAAACGCTACGGAGTCATCAGCAAATGCCTCAGATTTCAAACGTTCTCCACTTGGGAGCACTACGCCCGGGATATCCGGGTTAGCCCTTATCAAAATATGCATGATTTCCACATATAGTAAATACAGATAAGGCGCTACAGGACATCCCTGCCTCACCGATCTCTGCAATTGGATTGGTGGGGACAACACCCCATTGACACAAACTTGAGAGGACGCTCCTTGCAGCAGACTACTGACCGCATGTTTGAACTTGGGACCAAAACCAAAGGCAGTGAGAGTAGCCCGTAGAAATTCCACCCCACCCGATCGTAAGCCTTCTCCAGATCAAGCAGAATGATTGTCAGACTGTCATCACGGGCAGTCACTAACTCAATCAACTGTTCTACTACCATAACATTGTGTAATATCTGTCTCCCTTGCAGAAACCTCGTTTGGGATGAATGGATCAACAAAGGCAAGACAGTTTGCAGTCTAGCTGTCAAGATTTTGGAAAATATCTTATACAATACTGGCATGAGCGTTATCGGCCGATAGTTTCTAATGTCAGCGCTATCTCCTTTTTTTAAAACAAATGTGATTATTCCTTGCACCGTTTGTACTGGGAATGATGCGCCATTCCAGACCGTTTGACATATAAGCAGTAATTCAGGCAATAAATGTAGCGAAAAACCACGAAAAAATTGTGTCGGCAGGCCATCCAAGCCTGGGGCTTTATGACGTGTCAGTGTTCTGATGGCGTCAGCTAGCTCTTGCATAGTTATATCGGCTTCCAACATCTGGTGTTGACCAACAGTGAGCTTCCTATCCACTTTGGACCAGACAGAGTCATGATGTTGCAAGAGCAATTGCTGCTCAGAGTGTTGTGTCTGTGAAGCAAGCAGGTTTTCATAAAATAATGAAATATTAGTCACGATTGTTTGCGTTTCTACTGCTAATGACGCTTCACCATCAAAAGGGTGTTTCATCGCCATGATCAACCGGGGTTGTTGAGGCGGGCGATGGGTAGCAAAAAAGGAAGATGTCATTCGGTCACCTTTGACCAACCAACTGATACGCTTAGTATGGGTAACAGTTCTCATTGTCGGCTGCGACTGCAGTGTCCAGCGCTGTCTTAGGTCATCCATACGCCGCATCAATAGTTGTTCATCAGGTAAAATGCAGCTAGCTCGTTGTTGACAAGCTCCAATTCGGACCTGTTAGAAGCCTGTATCATGCGCTTTATGAGCAAGCCTCTTTGCAATATTATGCGTTGTCCTCCTTGAAACCAATCAGCCAAAGAGGGGAACATGGTTTTAGTTGTACACCATTTAGTCCAAAGTTCATACAAAAATTGAGTGAATTGTTGGGTCTGCACTACCCACTCCGACAATATTGTTCTGTCATGGCCCGCTCTCGCAGAGGTGTGAAGAAAGAATTCAAGAAAAAGTGGGGCTAAGCAGAGATGCCTACCCCCTGCTCAGCCCCGGTTGAAGCAGACGTCGTGCAAGCCTGATTGCACGGGGACTTCGGGAGCTAGGTTTGAACATGCTACTGCAGGTCTTCATGAGGGTGCACAGTGACTCCCATCTAGCTTAGCTGTGTGGTGATGATAGAGAGTTGGGTATCCTCCGTTCCCTCGTATGTCTCTGGAGTCCGTTCCGGCCTTGACACCCCTGACATCTCGTACTAAGGAACTGCTATGCCAGCCTCAACCCTGTGCTACGTACTAGGAGGATACCCAACCCTAGGTCATGAGTTATGGACTGAGTTTCTTATCCTTATGTTGTTTTTTTACTACAGTGTACTATGGTGCTGGTGGCAGAGAGATGGGGATCCTCCGTTCCCTCATATATCCCTGGAGCCCGTTCCGGCCCCGCGTTAAGGTGCAGTATCTCCTGACACCCCCGACATCCGTACTAAGGACTGCTATGCCAGCCTCAACTCTTAAGGTACATACTAGGAGGATAGCCCACCCTCAATCGTGAATCATGGACTGTATGTATTGACCCTGGATAACCTCTTAGCCGTGTGTTGTATGGTAATCTGAGAGCAGACAATCCTTTGTTCCCTCGTATGTCCCTGGAGCCCGTTCCAGCCCTGCGATAAAGTGCACTATCTCCTGACACTCCCGACATCCCATACTAAGGAACTGCTATGCTAGCCTCAATCTTTTGACCACGTACTAAGAGGATGACCAGCCCCAGATTACAGTCTGGTATCGAACACAAGACCTTAATGTGAATCGTGCAAGTGACCTAACCTATTGACATATACTGTGAAATAGTCTATCATTGTGCTCTGCTGGGCTCGAGTAAACTGGACTATACGGGCCACCCAACATTCTCATGACAACCCCATAGACCAAGAACATCAGGATACCCACCATCGCCCAGTCCACCAAGAACATCAGGATACGCACCATCGCCTAGTCCCCACATACAACAGCCATGGACTACCCCTTGGGTGGTGCGCAGGCAGTGTCTGTAATACCTTACCTGCGTCATCCCAAGGGGTTGTGTGTGTCCAGTCGTGCATCATTCTAATGCCCTGCTAGTGTCCATGCGCAAGACTGCGGAGTTTTGAACCCCCAACCTCATACTGTGATGCCCAACCTCACGCCCTGCGCGGCTTCCTGATCGGAGTGGGGTATGGGCCTGGAAGTGCGAAAAGGGGTGTGCCGAGGATTTTTGGGAAAGTGGGGGGAGTCCTAAGGGTATGAATGCAATAAAGCGAATAAGGGGTGCGTGCGCAAGGGACTCAAGGCCCGATGGGGCCGGAGCACTGGGGGCGACGGTTTACGGGGAAGTCCCTCTGCGGTGGAGGCGGTCCTGAAAAGTTAGGCCGTCTGGGGCCGCCACGTGGCGCAGGCCGCCGCGTACTTGGATTGGGCCTTCGGAATTTCGGAGTTCTCTGTTCGCCGCTACCTCGACAATTCACACAAAACGTACTAGGCCAATAGGGGGCTATGGCCGGCCACGGAACGACACTGAGTTGATGATACGGGAGAAGAAGGCGGAAAGGAGGGAAACTGGTGGTGATGACAACAAATCCCGGGTGGGTGAAGTAGTAGGTGTGGTCGGGGGAAGGGAAATCAGAGCACCGAGGGTCGCTAGAGGTGGCGCAGTGGAATTCCCGCGGACATAGTCGATTCTCCGTGTGACAGGGGTATCACAGCCTTATGAGTTCGTTTATCCAAGGGGTGAAATAATCCGGGTCGTAGGGTGAGTCTAAGCTCCAAGATCGCGTGATGGTATCATCGTAGATGGGACAGCTCGGGTCGGGTTATCATCACCGCGCACGGGCACGTGTAGGACAGGCGAACTTAGTTGCGCCTCATCGTGCCCGTACGGGATGACGGTTCCGCCGCGAGTCTTTTTGGGTGGGCGAATCGACGCACGGGAATGCGTGTAAGAGCGCGACTCGGATCGCGTTTATATGTGTTCTCGCGCGGCGTTTGCGGGGCCAAAGTTCGAATCGTCTAATTGCTTCGTAAGGTTCGATTATGCAAGATGCAACCATATCACAATTCCATCGTGAGACAAGCAAAAACGAGAACAAAATCGCTATCGGGGCCAGATTCTTTTCCCATCTACAGCTACATCAGGTGCAGGCAAAGATTCGACACAAACAAAAAGCAAGGACAGGGATTCTCCGCAAAAAGATAGACAAGCAGGCATAACATTCATACATCCATATATTCGACAATCATACACATAATGCAATCGGGACGGACATCGCAAGGACAGGTGTGAGCAAAAACCCAAGCCCAAATTCTAGAAAGCCGAAACGAAAATAAGAACGGCCAAACCGCCCGGAGCCGCAATCAAAATGTATGTACACAGGTGAAGAGGGGGAAGAGACAAAGAAATAGCAAATCCGCGTCCATCGACCTTAACTCTCTCTTCCTCTCTCTCTCTCTCCGATGCGGACAGTATGTCATCACGCACCAATCCACGAAGTTGTCACCCCACTTAGTCCTCCTGCACCCGTCGGATTCGCCCGTGCCCACAGTCCGTCGTGGCCCACGTCAATCCCGCGCGTTCGGCACCAGCCCGTCGGGTCGCCCAACTCCTACTCTACTCACCTCTTACTTCGCTCATGTGCCGATCCTTCCTGATCGCGCAGCCCCGAGCTTCCAACAACGGGTTAAGAGAGCTGACTAATCGCGCAGCCAAAATTTATAGCGTGCATGCATGCGCGAAGAACACGGAATTAGAGTGGGGATTAGAGAGGGAGCGCCTGCGTTCTGCGTGATCGGCCGCGGCGTGGGGGACGTAACCCTTCTCCACGCATCGATCCGAGCATGCAAGTCGCGGCTTACAAAAATGTCAGCAAAAGAAAGAGAGGGAGGGCGGGAGAGACGAAGTGCAAGAAGAAAGATACAGTTACAATGGCGCCCGCCCAAAATTACAGTTACACACACGATTAAGGGCACCCACTAATCAGAGTACCGTTGCAGCCGCATGAAGAAGCGCGTAGACAAAAGGCGCCGCGCGGCAGGAAAAAATCCTAATTACTGAATTCCTAAATTCCTATCTAATGCAAAAAAAAAAAGCAAAAAGCACAAATTCCAGAAGGAAAGTCCGAAATTTTGAGAGCCATCGGGGCTCGACAAAATTAAAAAAGGATCCAAAAGAAAATTCAAAAAGAACGAAGCAATTTCCCGCGCAATGTTCGCGCCCAAAAGATCGAAACCGAACCGAAAGAAACAACGTCAACATTTATTAATCGCGCGCGCGCGCGGCGACGCGCCAGACATCCATCCGACCAATCAATCAACCGGCCGTCCCAATACACACCCAGCTCTGTGCCCAACCATTCGAAAAAGAAGCGACGAAAATGATGGAAAAGCGAGGACACATATGTTATTCCCTACCGATCCCGATCTCCCGTAATTGGCCCAATCTTCCCAGCTTAGGACCCCTCGTTGCAACCGCGCAGAAAATCGCGCATTACAGAAAGTGGTTCGTCACATACCACAATGCGCATTTCCAACCGGTGCTCTAACCACTGAGCTACATCTAATTCTTTAACTAGCAGCTAATCTCAGACATACGTAGATGACAGTGTTCTTTTATTCTCGCCTTCATCACCTTCCTCTCCTGCCTTCCCCCCCCCCTCCCTTTCCTTATTCTCCATGCCATAACTCCTTATGCCACTTTTCTTTCCTTGACCCCACACGCTCCGTCCCCAACTGCTATGGACCCATATGCAGATCACCACATGACAAAATGCCAAAAATTACTCCAAGGGAAACCACAACCTCAAAAAAAAAAAAAAAAAAAAAAAACTCCGACTATATCAAAGTATCTCAGTGGTTAGAGCACCGGTTGGAAATGCGCATTGTGGTATGAGGTTGCAGGTTCAAATCCGTCGCCTTGCGCATGGACACCTACATGGCGTTAGAATGATGCACGACTGGACACCCCCCCCCTTGGGATGACACAGGTACCCAAGAGTTGTTCATGGTGTTGTATGTTGGTTCTACGTTTCACATGGGTTGCTTAGGGGTGTTGGTCTTGGGTGTTCTGTTGATCTCCCCAGTCTGGCATATCACACGTCCGTGCCATTTCCACTAGTCTTTCACATGGTAGAGTCATTCGATTACACGTACAAGGTCACGGGTTCGAGCTTGGTTCGGACCTTGGGGGGGTCCTTGTCCAGCTTACCCTGTTCTCTCTTCTGTACACAGTGTATACACACATGATGCTGCCTATACATTGATTCATAGAGCACACACAGCCTTCAGACATATGCATAACTTGTGAATTATACATGGCCTACGGGCTACATACACAAGTTTCCACACACAGTGCTGTCTGCACATCTTCATACATAGATACACGGAGCATACACAGCCTTCGGGTATCCACATACATTGCGAACTACACAACTATCAGACCGGGGGAGTCTAGTCACTGGGTGGGGTCTAGTATCTGCAGTAGGGACAGGTATGGGCCACCGAAGTTCCTTTTTTTTTTTTTTTTTTTTTTTTAAAGGAGGGCCCAGTGCCCAAGGCTCCAATTACAAATTTGATTACAAGCGTATACCCACGCCTCTTCCCATTAGGGCTGGAAGAGCCTCAGCCACTGCTCCCGTGGAGACAACTTCCCTGCCTAACACGACTGTAGCATAATCCCGGGATATTGATTGCTTCCCCAGATGGGCAAGGATTAACCCCATTATATGCAAAATCAAGCTCCGTCGTACCGTGAGGAATGGGGGAGACACAAATAGGGCATAGAACTTGATTGCAGGGCGAGATAGTTTTGCAGTTTCTCAGTTGTTATATTGAGCTTCCCCCTACGATCGTAATTAACCACAAACCGCTCAAGTGGAGGAAAGCCCTATTGCGGACAGATCGTAATCACAATACAAGTTTCTCAGCAATTATATTGAGCTTCCCCCTCCGATCGTAATTAACTACAAACCACTCTAGTGGAGGAAAACCCTATTGCAGACAAATCCAAAACAAAAATAAGGAACAAATCGTAACACCCACGTGGCAGGGCTCAAAACAATCAACCAAACAGCTCCAGTGTCGATCCCCACGACACCACCTGCCCTACCACATGGCCCAAAGCGCGCTCGAGTAGGAAAGATTGGAAAAAGGCCAAATCAGAATACAAAACAGCCCCGGCACCAGTCCTCACTACCCGCCCTATGGCCACTTGGCCAGATTCAGATTCGGTAGAGCCAGCCTAACACCTGCACCCCTATCCGATCTGGCATCCTGGAATTCACTATCCAACCCCTTCGCGCCACCGCCCCAGTCGTTGTCCCCGCACACCCCCTCCCAGTTTACCAATCAACCAATCCCCACGACCCTCTCCCCACTCAACACCGAATGAGCGAAAGAAGGAAGACAAGAGGGGAGGCCGGGGGGGGGGAAGAGAATAGCCTATCGCACTCACCATAGCATCGATGTTGTTGCCCAGTCGTTGTCCCCGCACACCCCCTCCCAATTTACCAATCAACCAATCCCCACGGCCCTCTCCCCACTCCAAGAAGGAAGACAAGAGGGGAGGCAGGGGGTGGGAAAGAGAATAGCCTGTCGCACTTACCACAGCATCAATGTTGTTGTTATCATTGTTGTTGTTATCATTGTTGTTGTTATCATTGTTGTTGTTATTGTCGTTTCCCCTGGCAGTATCGATGTCTTCATTGGTGATGATGTAGTTGCTATCGCTCCCAAGCCCGCACGACCTCAGGATCTCACCTTCCATACCACCGTAGTGCACAGTGTCGTTGTAGTTGTTGTAGTCGTTATTGTTGAATTTGATGTCGTGTGCATATGTCAGTGTCGTAATCACGGGCTCTATCGGTCTGATCGATGTTGCTGATGATATCGTCGTGAGTGCTTTAGATGCTGATGTAATCATCGCCTTATCAATAGTCGACGTTGTTATAATCGTTGTCGCAGCTGTCGCAGTCTGACGTGGACCCTTGTCATCATACTCGACGCGCCCCTCTTGTGCACGCTTCTCCAACGCAGTTCGCTGGACTTGAGCCTCGTCGAAAAGCTCATAGTATCTCTCCATCAGAATGTCGACATGCCCCCAGTTGATGAGAGTGTCCAAACGCGGGTCTGGCCCCTCCTCAGCTTCCCAGATAATCTCCATAATAGACTGAGTCATGTCCTTCACCCATTGCTCCAGTCCCGAGGCCGCTCCCCCATCGACCTCTGCCCAGGCTTTGACTGTTGTGGATAAGGCATCCACCAGACCCTGCAATCGCCATCGACCTGCCTCCAGGAGCGAAATCCATTGATCAGCTTCATATTGTAGATTGCTGCTTGTCTCCTCCAGACTCGCCATGTACGGTAATCTATGCGCAAGGACGCCTTCTTCACGCTGACTATGAGATGCCATCTTCTCGCCTGCACCTTCACCTGCCCAATCAGTCAAATCCATCGCTGGTTGACTTACTCGCAATCTCCGATATTGACGTCAACGCGTTCGGTCTTCCTCGGTAGCACCGAGGCGTTAGGTCTCGAGACCGCCGGACCCGCCGGCCGGTACGTTCCCCACGCGCTCGCGCCTCTCCTCAGTAGTGACGTCTCCTAACTAGTTCTTGCGAGTCTACAAGGTGACAAGCCTCCTTCATGGGCTGGTGGTTTTTAATTTGTCGGCCACCGACATCGATGTTGTGGTAAGTGCGACAGACTATTCTCTTTCCCACCCCCTGCCTCCCCTCTTGTCTTCCTTCTTGGAGTGGGGAGAGGGCCGTGGGGATTGGTTGATTGGTAAACTGGGAGGGGGTGTGCGGGAACAACGACTGGGCAACAACATCGATGCTGTGGTGAGTGCGATAGGCTATTCTCTTCCCCCCCCCCGACCTCCCCTCTTGTCTTCCTTCTTTCGCTCATTCGGTGTTGAGTGGGGAAAGGGCCGTGGGGATTGGTTGATTGGTAAACTGGGAGGGGGTGTGCAGGGACAACGACTTGGGGGGTGGCGCGAAGGGGCCTACTGATATTTGGATAGAACTATCCAGTGGCTATATATAAGTCTTAGACCATCGCCCCCTTTTTATTCATTATCGTTATGGAAGCTCTCGTAGCTAATCTCCGACAATGTAAAGACCTAAAGAAAATTCAGATAGCCGGCATCCCCGAGGATGTTGTTCCGGTCTGCTGTTTATTTGCAGATGACCTCACAATCATGGCAGACGCCACACAACAAAACATGGAAGTAATATACAGACTGATGACCCTTTTGGCAACCTCGCGGACATGGCCGTCAACTGGGGACACAAAACGATAGGCTGGTTGCTTCGCCATCGAGGGGGCCGACCTCCGAAAGGACACCATATTACCTGGGTGGCCCTCGAATCCACAATTCGGATCCTGGGGGTAAAGACGACAAGGACAGGCAAACCCTCCGAAAATGACGGCTGGATATCAGCCCCAGCAAGCGCCAAACTTTCCCAACGGAATCACCAACACACCTCACTCTTCGGCCGGGCCCTGGTGATCAATAATGTTGTCTTGGCCACCCTTTGGTATAAGTCGGTGCTCTGGCCACTAAGCCCAACGGCCCTAAAAACCCTGAAAAGGAAGGTGGCATCCTATCTTTGGAGAGGGGACAGTGAGAATCCCCATGCCATCAACCGGGTGGCGTGGGACTCAGTCACCCAACCCAAGGCGCATGGAGGCCTTGGTATTCTAGACCCTCTCACCCAATCCCAAACTCTTAGTCTACAATGGGTTGTGCGCCTGATTTTTTAGCACCCATCAGTATGGAGGTCTCTGGCATTGGCACAAATCGCTCGTCTGGCCCCTGAGGGCCCTCAGTCCGTTCACCCTCTCCAATGGCTAGAGGACCACTATTGGAGAGTGCCTCGACGGCCTCGGGGAGGGAAAGGGAGGAGGGACGATTTCTGGCCCCGATTGCTAAAAATTTGGCGGAGACTCCCTCCCCCGAATCGCCCACCACCGGACAGGTGGGAGGAGGTGGCTAAACAACCCCTCTTTGGGAATAGGTGAATCACCAACGAATGAAGCCAGATGTTTTGCAGCATCGACGCCCCATGGAAAGGTTGGGTAAAGCATGGAGTGACTAGAGTAGGGGATCTGTGGGACGAGAAGAGGAAGGACTGGAAAAACCCGGAGAAACTGAGGGCGGAATTGAGGTATTGCCATAATGTAGAAGGGGTCTTCGAAGAAATAACGGAAGCCCTCCCGATAGGATGGTGGACCATTCTGAATAGAGGCCAGGTCTTAAAGGAGGGAGATTGGGTGGCTAAGGAAGGGAGGGTTGATAAGGTAGGCTTGGTTCACCTAGTTCGCTCGGACGAAGTATTGCTCGAATGATACAGCGTAAAGCGGAACGGAGATCTCGAAGGGAGTCGGGATCCCCTTCAATGAACCCTGAAGAAGGACTACATCGCATTAGGGTAATGGAAGAAGGTGGCAACCGGCAAACTTTCCTTCTTGAGCTAGCTTTAGCATTTCTACCAATCGACCCACTGGAATGGATCTGGCACCCCGAATCACAGCACCACCCGCGCCAACTAAAATCTAAAACACTGTTGCCGTCTGTCGGGTCTCTCGGTGAAGGCGACGTACCGAATGCTCAGAACGAAGCGTTGCCTAAAGGAAACGGTGATCGATAGATAGCAGAGGCACCTCAATGTGCAGAGACAGCTTCTCACACCGATTCGCTGGTTCCGTGACACAAAGTGTAGACAGGCAAAAATCTCGTTCTTACACTGGTAGATCTTGCATCGGTGCTTACCTACAAACAACTGGCTGATTGACCATTCGCGGTTGGAGCAACAGGGTCGTGCGCTCCCGTGGTGCTCTCGTTGCCTTCTGGGTTTTCCGGCTAGAAAGAAAGCAGAGACAATCGAACACATATTTCTGCAATGCCCAACCGCAACCTTGACCTGGAGGTGGTGGGATAGGGTGTGGCAGCAAATGGTCCCAGGGGATCCATGGTCGTGGGATCGACAGACCATCTTGATAGGTCACTACCCACCCTTCCAAGATAATACTTTTGTGTCCAATATGTTCCACCTGTCCCGAAGAACTATTCTCTAGGTCCTGTGGTGGCAACGTTGTGTCCTAACCTTAGAACATGCCCGAGTAGAAGGAGAAGAGAGGGTGGAACAACTCAAAACGCACTTCCAACTGGAACTCTCGCACAGGTGGAAGTCAACCAAGCAAGTACTCGATTCGCTTCATAGACCCAAGGACATCCGGGAACAGTTACTTCAGTTCCCCAGAGACTGGCTGGGGGGGACCGGGAAGGATGGGTAGCGGAAGTATKTTGGACAGGGGACTGGGAAGGTGAAGAAGGAAGGGAGGATACACGAGATAAGGATGTCCCACGGGACTACCACCTGAGATTCAAGGAGTGGTTGTCGATTGATTCGAGTATCCCCATGAGACATGCAGAGGACTTCCCTGACCCCTTCCCCCCCCACTCGAGTTCCCTGGATATATGCCTGTAAACCCCTGCCCATCCAAACCCTCATACTCCTCGCATCCCAACTGCAGCGTTTTGCTGCGTCAAAACCGCCTTTTTTCATTTCTTGCTTTTCCATCCCCCTCTGGCTTCTGGCAGTATGACACAGAGGGGGCAGGTGGCATTCTTCGAACGAAAGGTTTTGCAGGGGATGCTGAAGGGCATCAGGAGGAGGTCCCACTGTGTTTGTAAAAACACGACATAGAGAGAGCGGGTGGTGGGTTTCGAAGTGGAGCAAGGTTCTAGGGGAAGGGCAGGGTGACGGCAGGAGGTCCCACTGGTGCCCCCCAGTGGCTCCTCCCGGACCCCTCAACCAGTCAAAGGCTGCAGAATGAGATAGAGACCACCTGCATTACACATGCTACATTTTCTTCAGGAGTGTTCGTTGTGTATCGTCAAGAAAGGGACAAGGGCTATTGGAGGGAGGGAGGGGCCAGTACGTAGCAGTTGAAATCTGGCGCCGAATTCAAGGTGAAGAGGTCCCCCCTGCTCAATCAATCCCCCAAGCTCCAGGGCAATCAATACTGGCAAGATCCTCCTACAAGTTTTTCTGATGTATTCCAATGTATTCCATTGTTAAAAAGAAGCGAGATTAACAATCTGACACAACAGGGAGGGATGACAGCTGGTTACACCGGACAGATGACTGCATGGTTGCATGGTCGCAAGGGGACCGTTTGAGGAAGGGCTGGGTGACGGGAGGACCCACTGGTGCCCCTCAGTGGCTCCTCCCGGTACTCTGACCAGATGAAGGGTTGAAGAAGGAGAAGGGGATCAGTTGGACCCCTGCTACACTCGGCTATGCATCTCGGGGATCTTTCTGCATGAGGGCTGCTGTTTCCAGGCCCATGGAGTCTGCAGATTATGGACAGCTGGTTTGGTGATTACAGTTTGATTACAGTTAGAGAGCCTTCACAACCAGTTTTGGAGTCCAGAGAAGTCAGTATTGGCAGGTTTTTTCCAGTTGTTCTAAAAATCGCTCTCCCAAGTTTTTCCAACGTCCTAATCAATCAATCCCCTGTAAGCCAGGGTAATCAATGCTGGCAGGATTGTTTCT